CAGCCTCCCGAGTAGCTGGGACTACAGGCATGCGCCACCATGCCCAGCTAATTTTTTCTATATATTTTTAGTTGTGCAGATAATTTCTTTTTATTTTTAAGTAGAGACGGGGTCTCACTCTTGCTCATGCTGGTCTCGAACTCTTGAGCTCAAACAATCCACCCGCCTCGGAGTGCTAGGATTACAGGCGTGAGCCACTGCGCCTGGCCTGTTTAGCTTTATTATTATAGATAATGTTAATCAGTTTTACCATAGCGGCTGTTCCCACTATATACTCCTACCAGCAACGTATGAAAGATCTGGTTGCTCCAGGTTCTTACCAAAACTGGGTATTAGGCTTTTAAATTTTAGCCAGTCTGGTGGGTGTTAAGTGGTACCTTATTGTGCTTTTAATTTGCTTCCACTGATTAATAATGATGTTGAGTATCTTTTACTGATTAGTAATAATGTTGAGTATCTGCTTATTAGTCATCTTGGATATCAGTTCTTTGTCAGATATATGTATTTCACATGTCCGACTGGGCTTTTTACTTTTAATGATATCTTATTGTGAATAGAAGTTACTCTAATGAAGATTAATTTATTTCGTTTTATGATTAGTACTTTTTGTGCTCTTTTAAAAAAAAATCTCTTGGACCACATTTTGAGAAATGCTGAAACTTGAACTGTTTGCTGGTTGGCAAGGAACTGGGGGAAGTACCCCCTAAAATCTTCTTTGTCAGCAGCTGTAGTGTAGACCTTCTAGGAATCCCTCTGTCTCTTTATAGTATTCAGATTGGGGCCTTGTGAATATTATGTTCCTAATGTTAAACAGTTGTCTGTGCTGCAATAAAAGCAATGGGGCTGTAGCTAAGTTATTTCAGTGACTTAGAGCAGCATTTCTCCAGTTTTTCCACAAAAGTGCCCTAACCACAGGGAGAGCAAGTCCATAACTCTGGGGGTATCTGGAGTCTTGACAAGGCCTGAAGCAGCTGTGGAAAGCAGGGAATATTTCTTTGAATTCTTCTGTTTTATCTTTATCTTAAAAATGCATGCCAGTTTTTAAGGAGATAGTTTGTTTTCATTTAAAATAGCATTTTTCTCAACCAGCTCTTTTTTTAAAAAAAAAGGGAAAAATGTAAAATAGAATTTTAATGATTCAAGCATTTACTTCTAAATTTAGAGTGAAATTGAAGGAGGCTTCAGGAGACTGTATCATGTTTATTCAGCAGCTTGAAGTATCTTTGGCAGCCTTGGGATAGGCAGCGGTCTCCAACCTTTTTGGCACCATCTACCGGTTTCATGGAAGACAATTTTTCCACAGATGGAGGGGTGGAGGGGTGGGGGCTAAGGAACTCTGCAGTGTGGTCTCTATGTGGCCCGGGTGTTACCGGGGATGAGGGGATGTTGGGGACCACAGGGGTAGGGTATTCATATATTGTCTTCACTAATCCATGTGCTTTACCATTCTTTTTTTTTTTTGAGACAGAGTCTCACTCTGTTGCCCTGGCTAGAGTGAGTGCCATGGCGTCAGCCTAGATCACAGCAACCTCAAACTCCTGGGCTCAAGTGATCCTACTGCCCCAGCCTCCCGAGTAGCTGGGACTACAGGCATGCGCCACCATGCCCGGCTAATTTTTTTTTTTTCTATATATTTTTAGTTGTCCGATTAATTTCTTTCTAATTTTAGTAGAGGCGGGGTCTCGCTCTTGCTCAGGCTGGTCTCGAACTCCTGAGCTCAAACAATCCGCCCGCCTCGGCCTCCCAGAGAGCTAGGATTATAGGCGTGAGCCACCGTGCCTGGCCCTGCTTTACCATTCTTGGTGGCTAAGAAACTTTCACAGTAATTACCAGTTGAGTTTCCCTTATCTGAAATGCTTGGGACCAGAAGTGTTTTGGTTTTGGAATATATGCATTATATACTTACTGGTTGAGCATCCCAAATCTCAAAATCTGAAATGCTTCAATGAGCATTTCTTTGAGCATGATGTTGGTGCTCAGAACGTTTCAGATTTTGGAACATTTCGGATTTTGGATTTTCTGAATAGGAATACTCGACCTGTGCTGGCAGAGTCAAAACAAGATCTCAGGTCTCATTGCTCCTTCCCCTATACTGTCCAGTCTCATATTATTAAGGTTAGATGATGGGATTAAACCTTGAAATGACAGAAGAGAGCTGAATAAATTCAGAATAGCCTGAGGAAATAAAAAAGAATGCTTTTTAATAGACCAAGAATTTTGAGGAATTTCAGGAAGATAAAAAAGCAGTTAGGTATCCTAACTTTAGAAGTTAAGCATGAGTTTAATTTTATTTTAGCTGTTGGGAAAATGCTAAAGACCATATAACAGATAAGAGAGCATTAGTATTTCCCAACCCTGGTAACCACTATTCTACTTTCTGTTTCTATGAGTTTGATTACTTTAGATACCTGATATAAATAGAACCATGCAGTATTTGTCTTTTAGGAATGGTTTATTTCACTTGCGGTTCATCTATGTTGTATCATATGACAGGATTTCCTTCTTTTTTTAAGGCCAAACAATCCATTGTATTTTATATACATTTTCTTTATCCATTCATCCCTCCACGGATATTCAGGTTGCTTCTATGTCTTGACTAGTATGAATAATGCTGTATGAACATGGGTGTGTCACCATGCCTATTTTTAAAGGCTGTATCTGTTTTTCTCTTGTAGATATATTAGACTTTATGGGAGAAAATTTAGCAAAGAAGATCATGTTCTTTTTATTAAGTTATTGTATGAGCTGGTATCAATTCCAAAATTAGAAATCAGCATGATGCAGGGATTTGCCCGCCTCCTGATCAACTTGTTAAAGTAAGTCCATTTTCTATGATTTCTGGTAAGGTTTTTTTGTCTGTTTGTTTGTTCAAGATTTTAGAGAATGAGAACTAAGTGCTTTTGGTAAGAAGACCAAGTCTCAAATTGCCAATTTGGAGAAAAGATTGCAGAAAACGTTATCATAAGTTTAATCATATGTGTTAATCTTTTAGTTAAAACTCCATCTCCTCCATGAAGGCCTCTCGTCTCTAGCATACATTGTACTATATTTTGTCTGATTTTTTATGCTAATTATCTTCCCTTATATGGATTATAAGTCCCTTGAGAAGATAGGGATCATAGATTCTTTTGCTTAAGTAAAAGCAACATTATGGAAACATTAAGTATTCCATAGATAGTGTTGGAAAATATGAAATTCATCTGCAATAATGGTGACACAAATTTAATGCCCCTTTTTACCTGGTGCTCTTTGAGGTTTGAGCAGCAGCATGAATCTGGTTTACTGTTCTTCCTAATACTGTGTTGTGCCAGTGAGTGGCTGTGGATGGGGAAAAGCAAAACCCATACGAGCAGCAATATTTAACTGTCTTCCCTGTGTAGTATTTATGACATACACACATCTGTGTATACATCCATGCATAGGTATCTTCCCCTGACCTCCCCCTCCCATTTTTTTTTTTAAGGAAAAAGGAACTTCTTTCAAGAGATGATTTGGAGTTACCCTGGAGACCACTTTATGACATGGTGGAAAGAATATTATATTCCAAGACAGAGCACCTGGGATTAAATTGGTTTCCGAAGTAAGTGTTTCCATTTAAAGTACTTCTTTGGGGGCACTTGGCAGCTTTTAGGGGATCATGATTGAAAAATACTGGGTTGTTTGAAATAAACAGGCAAATAAACATTTTAATGTACTCATTTCTATGTAACTTGCCTCCTATAACAATCCACTGGCCTCTTTAAACTATTTCTGAAGCTGTACTTAAGACTTTGTTACCAGTATATTACTAATAGCTAACTTCACCACACTGGCGAAAGAAAAGAAAGCAAGAGATTTTTGTTTGAATTTGAATTTTTGTCATTGGAAGTAATGCATGTTTGACATTCTTCATAATATATCCACATGTATTTTAATTCTTCGAGTAAAAGTGAGTGCTTTAAAAAGAGAAGCTTTGCATATGCCAGAAGACACCTATATTCCAGAGAACACACAATCCCAGTCATGGCACCAAAAAATAATAAAATAAAATAAAGCAGCATCAGTTTCAGTGATTGGCTGTTGTTAGAGCACAAACTATTCAACTGCACAGAGATTGGTTTATGTTATTTCCTAGTAATGTTTAGACTGTAAATCTCTTGGTGATTATTGGCTTCTTGCACATACATCATGCCTCTTCAAAACCTCTAATTTTTGTATGTTTCGTATTCTGAATTTACAGAGTAAATAGAATCATGTGCCTTTTTCGGGTAATTGTGATTTCAGACTTGACTACCAAGTTTCATTTCTGTTTTTAGTTGTGATCTAGCTCTTAATTTTCTCAATTTTACCATGTTTGGCTTAAAAAATTGCTCTTAAATTTGTGTTTAAGATTGATTTTTAGGAAATTTTTCTGCAGTTTTTAATAGCTGTTTTCTTTCATTGTCTAGAGTCATTTGTCATATATTTATATACTCATTTCCTAAAGAATCCATTCCATATGCCTATATTAATTTCCTTGTTCTCTTTTATAAATCAAGTCTTTAAAGTCTATTTCTGTGGTTTCTCTCTCAATCTTAGACATGTCTACATTATTTCATTATTTCTTGTAGCCTCCACAGTTCAGTTCATTTAACCCATGATTAATCCTTAGGTTTCACTTAGGTCAGCAATCTGTGCCCCTTACCATAGAATTTTTTGAAAATGACTATGGATGGCAGATGTGAAATTATATAAATGGAAAGGGTGAAAAAAAAGATCCTGAACTTAGGTCCTAACTGGTTTGAGGCAATTTTGGACACATAGAGTGGTCAGAAGTCATTTATTTCCTGAAAGTTTCATGTGTTATAACAATGAAGCTCATTTCAACCATAAAAATAGCAAATTTTATCATGAAACTGAATGATACAATGTGCAATGTGCTTTTACAATTATTATGAAAGCCCCAAATTTAATATAAAGTTTTGTTGCAGAGATTCCTTTTGAGTGTTATTTCTGCTGTGGGGAGCATGGCTTGTACTGGATTGACTGAGTCTTCTTTAAATATGAGCTTAGGGAATTTTCTGACTTGGCATCACCATTTCATAGATTTCAGAGACCTTTGAACTGTGTTCAAATCAGTTTCTTTCTGAGATTTTTCTGGCTGATTATTTGGCCTACTCTGAAAGTCACTGGCACATGAAGGGGAAGGGAAGGTGACTTCGTCAATAATTCCTTGTTCTTCAATATGTCCTTTACGTGCTACGTCATAACTTCCTGCCTTGCAGGCGTACCTTTGCAAAGGCAGCCACTTCTTTTAAAGTCCTGTGTGGTCATTAATAAATAGCTGTGGCTTTCCTCTTCAGTAGTACTAGCTGTTTGCCTGGAAGTCTTCTGTTAGTGCCACTATCAATCAGTGCTTCTTAAGTTCCAGCCCTGTGTCTTGATATCCTGCTTACCATGTCTCTTCTTGAAGTGGTACCGTCATCCTTGCTTTTAAAAGTTTCACTTTGGCTGTTCTTGGTCTTTTTTTTTTTTGTTCTTGGTCTTTTAAAGAGACATCATGACTCTGCTGAAATTGTTGGCTTGGTTTAAAGCAGTGACTCAACTCTTAACAGACTCAGCACTCCATTTTGCATTTTGTAATTACCTATTCTAAAATGAAATTCATGGATAATATTACCTACTTATACTCAGTGGCAAAAATAAATTATTTTGTTTTGAGTATTATCATCTTGAATATATTCTGACACATTGTGAAACAGTTTTGTCAGCTGACTTACATGTGTTTGTGTACTATTTTTAGAATACTATTTTTATAATCAAAAGTAAAAGGTTGTTAACTGTTTGTCTTTCAAATCTTAAACTCATGTGTCTTATGTATTTGTCCTTATTGAAACCACTGCTTAGAGCGCCGTGCATTTCAACATGATTTTAAAAGCTAGTTCTGTTGTTTGGAGCAAAGATGATGAACTTTCATCTCTTGTCCCTCTTTCTTTTTTTTTTCCTTTCCTCTCTCCTTATTACCTCTCCTACCCTTTTGTTTCCTCTGTTTTTCTCTCTCTGCCTTTCTTCTTTCTGTCTGCCTTTTTGCTTCAGGCGCAGAAGACCCTTTTCACCCTCCTTGTCTGTTTCTACTTTCTACTGGAGAAGTACTTTGTAGGGTTTTTTACGTAATCAAAACAAAATTGGGAAGAAGATAATTGTGAATTTGATACTGGCAATGTAAGAATTGACTATTGTTTACTTTATAAAAGAAGCTTATGAATCTTATGGGTATGGTTTTATTTCATATAACAGTGTCCCATGCACTTACTTTGAGTAGCATATTGCATGTTACAAATACAGGCAGCACTACTCACCAAATATGGGGGAATTATGCATAGATCAATTTTTACAAATGGGCATGGACAGTTCATATTTGAATTGCTATGTTTATAAATTTGTTTAGTTTTATTACCACTAATTTAATTTTTGTGGGTGGTGGTAATGGTTTGCATTATTTTTATCATGAATAGTTTGGGCCTATATAACTCATTTTTTTTTTTTTTTTGAGACAGAGTCTCACTCT